GGGGAAAAGATCAGAAGTGACCCCTGGCAAAAAGATCAGAATAAGCTGGGTGCCAAGTTTAGATGGAAGAGGGCATTTGAGCATTCAGCCACACCAAGTTTTTTGGGGTTTTTTTTTTGTATTCAAGAAAGAAAATTCAATTTTGATTACTTTGTCTCTATAAGGAAGTAAGTTTGCACTGTAGCAAATTATCAAGAGTAATGACCAGGACTTTTTTTCCCACAGTATTAGTGTAATCTTAGATCAGACACACTACAACTTTGGTTGAAAACTGAATGTTTATCTCAAATATTGTCTGATACTGTCTATAAGGTATGAAGTTCCATAAGAAAATATATGTTTAATAGACTGTGTTAGAAAACACAAAATCTATTTATGTGGTGATTTTTTTCCACTGTGGGAAATGACTGTTAGGAGAAGTTAAGCTATTGCTGATGTGTTTGGATGATAATGATATAAAATAAATTTAATTAAAAAATTAAAAGTTCAATGAAATCTTTTCTAACCTCATAAATCACTCCTTCTCCTAGATCTCCAAAGCAAATTCTGTTCATCCCAGGACACCATCATCCTGTGTTGCTACAATTACAAGTACAAATGTTGTATACTTTGCTACTGGGCTTCACAGGCACATGAGTGAAATAATGGCTGCATGCCTGAACTATCAAAAGCTTGTGGCAATGCAGCATTTGAAGTGTTCACAAAGAAAAGAAATCCTAATACTTAAAAGTTATCCTTGAAATGGTTTACATATATGTGCTTTTTCTTAATTGCTACAACAGTTACAGAGTAGGATGAAAATATGTCCTTTTATAAGGTCAGCTGAAATACAGGATAGTTGCCGGTGAGCTTAAATTTGGAAATGCTGCATCTCATATTAGGTCAGTTTCAGCCCTCAATATTTCATTTCTGACACTTTAGATCCTAATTCAGAGGATCAGATGAGAAAGGGCATCTGACAAGTACTCACCAAAATTACTAGTGATGATGAAAGCCAAGTGCTGCCTTTCTCATGCTGTTAACTCATAAGTGGCTGTTAGGAGAATCTCTTCTCTTTTATTAGGTGTGTTTTAGAGGCAAAATTAATTTTTTAATTAAATGAAAATGCTAGATAGTGAGCAATGCAAGCATTTTTCTTTATGTTACCATGGTAAGCTGGTTTTGATTTTAAACCTTTACTCAGCTCTTATTTTGAAATGAAGGTATCTTTCAGAAAGCTGGAAAGGAACACATTCCTTTGGAATGAATTCCATTACCCTATTGCTATTCGCTGTAGTTTTATTTATTTACTTTTTATTGATGCATATTCGATGTACGTATTTTCAGGGTACCCGTGATCATTTGAAACACTCATATAATCAAATCAGGGAAATTGGAATATCCATCACCAGTTAACATTAATTGATTGTATATTTCACAATAGCTAGAAGATAATCATTCAAATGTTCCTAGTATTGTCATTTTTTAAAATATAAAGCTTTTTTTATTTTTATTTTTTTGTTGTTGGAAAAAAGTTTCCAAAAAACTTGAATAGAAAATGGAGCAGGATTTATGAGGCTCTGCTAGTTCAACGTGAGGATGTCCATATCCTTCTCCTAGGGAAAGAATGGTATCGGTGCCCTGTTTCCCTAAGTAATTTTTATAGCTTCATGGAGATCCCTTTTCCTGACTAAAGTGTGACATTTCAAATATATGTGACTTTTTTTTCTACATGATGCTAAGATTACATATTTGTCTGTACAAAAACACTTTAAGCTATTAATTATGTACTATATTGCACTGCATTCTAGAATATATCTACAGCTATCCCATGGATTTTGGTATGACCAGCTGGTTTGGGGACTCTCCATTAATATGAGTATTTATCTCACAGACTACAATCATCAGCTTAAAAATCCTGGAGCCAAGTATCCACCTACCCTCTAAGATCAATTCCATCCATAAAATCAAGTTGTCATTGTGTTGAATTTTTAATAACATTAATTCATATGTCAAACGTTAAAGCCAAAATTTTTCATACCCATTGAATGGTAAATTTTAACTCAAAATTCTTATTTTAGTGCAAGAAAAGTTATCCATGTTATAATCATGCTTTCATGAGTTCTTGTAAAATGTAATAGGAATAATGATATCAGATCATAATTAAATTATGTCATTCAATTTGCTAAGACAACTAAATTATAGCAAAGACATTATATATAAATTTTAAAAGAGATTCATGTTTTAAAAGGGTGGAAATGAAATCCTAGCTATAAGTTTTTGGAAAATCAGTATTTCATGAGTTTGGAATTACAACATTTAATCCTCTAAGTAATGAAGACAAAGGGTAACTGCATCTTAAAAACATCTGCAGTCAGTTCTACTGGTACCAACAAACTGTTGTTAATCTAGGGTTCCGAGGGAGAAAGGCAACCTGTATTTGTTGTGTTTGCCAATTGCCGTGGTGTAAACACCCACAACACAGCCAAATGAAGACAGACAATGGTTTAACAACCAACTGGCAAGATTCCTGAATGATCAGGAGCTGATTCCAGCATACCACTGCCTGCTACTAAACCCTAATACTACATTTTTTTTTTTTTCTAATAAAGTATTCTGAGGTCAGGCGACAGCCCTCTTATCCATGAATGTAAGATTCATGGAATGTGTTCCACAGTCTAGTGATTATTGACAAGCTCCTACCAAAGTCTATCTGAGATGACCTATGCAGACTCACTCAACTAGTACTAGTTTAAGATCTGTCTTCCCCAGGTGACAGAAAGCTCCATATGGATGAGAGTCACGTTTTCCTTACACATCCCTGTATTCCCAGCACATGGCACAGGTAGCAGTGCCTCATGCTCTAAAATGTAAGCTACTCTTCAGCAGGGAACTTTGTCTGTTTTGCTCACTGACAGATGCCAGCGCTAAGACGGTATGTTCCACACAGTAGGTGCTCAATACATATTTCTAGAAAAAATGAATAGATAAAATACAAAATGACTAAACATGAAGCCATACACAAAAGCCAAGACAGCAAATATGGTTGCTGAGTTTCAGATAGCATCTGAAAAAATAAATCATAAATGATTCATAAACATCATGTTTTCCTGAGGTCCTTTATCTCGATAAATGATTCTAGTCTTCAGATACTGTGATTTCTCCTTTTTTTGTTACCAGTTCAAGGCAGAAGAGTTGAAGGAATTGCATTCAGAGTCTAAGAAGTAAATTTTATCCCGGGGCCAGTTGCCTATCAGAAACTGGGTCTTGTTTTTCTCACTCCTATTTTCTGTCTCTTCCTGTCCCCCTTCTCTTTACTCCTCCACATAATGTGTTCCTCCAGCCTCTGATCCAATATGTTCCTTCCGGCTTCTCTAACTGGGGATTTGGCTCTATTAAAATACAATTTTGCAAGGTTCAGGACAAGATACAGACTTATTCGAACACGCAGTAGTCACAGAAACTTTGTCTTCACATTCCTTGCCGGCTCCATATAAAAAGAAATTAAGAGTCCTCGATCTCTCATTTATTACAAAGCTCAGAAGTCGATGCTATAAACTGATCTGAAAAAGAAGCAGTATTCTTATGGAAACTAGGAATTGTAGCCACATGGATGAGATATGTGAATAAAACGCTTCCAGAAGTAAAATCGCAAGCCCATGTTTCTGCTGTTCTTTGTCTTTTAGAACATATCATGAGGAAACTGCCCAGACTTAAAGGAGAAACTCTGAAGCATAAACCTGTTGTGATTTCTGTGGCTAATAGAAGGGTTGTAATTTCATGGAAAAGTTGTAAAAATAAAAGAGAGGCTGCTCTTTAAATGATAAGTCTTGGGTAAATTGGCTAGGTGAGTGGGGAAGAGACAAAGATTTGTTGGAAAATGGAATGGAATCACCCTAAGTTTAAGAAGAAGTTAGCAGCTAGGAGGTTATTACACACCCCTCCTTCGGGGCGGGGTAGGGGGGCAGTCCTAGATTCTAGAAGCAGAGCTCCAAAGCCCGTTAGAGAAAAGGGGAATTTTGTTTTACCTCCAAAGAAGGAACTGAAAGTCCAACCTCAACAGGTACCTCTAGTACATACAATAGTTTTATAAATTGCTCATCACTTTCCATTGACTGCCAGGTATCTTAGTGATAGGAATATTACTGTAATTCTAAGTTTCAAAAATATGAAAGAAAGGTTTGAAATCAATAACCACACCTAAGATTATAAACCATTTGTTCCTGTATGCTAATTGGAAATGCCACTATAAAACAAGTATCAGAAAACCCACAAGAGATCCTGTTCGATTGCACAATTAAAAGAACTCCCAGTTCAGGAAATGGGATAGTACTGAAGAACATTTTATCTTTGCTTTAAATATCTAAATGTAGCAAATACGTATGATACACAAAATACAGATTCAGTGAGTCACGATCCATTATCTTTAGGCTGGGAAAATAAGTCAGGTAAACATTTAAATGCTATTCATTCCTTCTCTAGCCTTTAGTGCCATGCTAGAAGAGTGAGGGGAATGCTTTGAGGACATGCAGAGGAGGTGGCATTTCAGCGGGGTCTGGGGGGCATTGAGCAGTACCCTCCAAGACGGATGAGGCAAGACATCCTTCCAGGAGAAGAGCCTGCAAGTGTAAGCAAAGCAATGCACAGAGCACAGGGGTTGCCGTCCTCAGTGTGAGAGGAGTACCAGGAATGAAGCTGGGAAGCTGTGCATGCAATAAAGGACCAGCCACAGCGCCCTGTTGAGAACAGGGAGCTTCCTCTGCTGGGACAGAGAAGCTGTGGGTGGTGTTCAGGTAGGTGAATGACATAGCCTTCTGATGTCCTTCTACCTGGACAACTATGTCACCAGAAGGAGAAGAGAGGAGGAGGAGGGAAAAGAGGACAAAGCAAAGCATGGGCACACATTGAGGCACCTGTTGGCCTCCATTGAGCAGAGCCACCTTTTTGCCCTTTAGTTTTAACTATTCCCATGGCATAGGTTGCACGGAGCATGAGAAGCGTGGAAAGGTCTGTTTACTCACTGTTCTGAGGGTGCCAGCGCACAGCATTTAAGTAGGCGTTGCAGTAATGGAAGAGAAACTCATGATCGGAGTGTTGGCTTTTTCCTTCAAGCAGGGGCATCAGATCACGTCCATCAATGATCCTGTGGGATAAACAGCCAGGCATCAAGTGGTGAATCAGTCCTGTGTTCTCAAATGTCCTTCTGAACCAACAAGAGCATGAGGGAGCTCCAGTCATAATGAATACAAAGAAGACTGACCCCACCTGGGTGCCCTGTGCAACAACACATTGATCCCAGCTCTGTCCGTGCATTCCATCTGCAAAGAGCACCATAAGCTGGAACTACGGTCATCCCCATTGCATAGATGAGAAAACAGAGGCACAGAAAGGTTAAGTAATTTGCCCAAGGTCATGGGACCTTGTTCAGAGTAAGAATTGATGGGACTGATATCCAGCTGATCTGGCATTCGCACCCTTATTCTTCCTATTGCTTCTCCAAAACACAATTTTCTGTCTATTGCCTGACCAAAGGGAAAGCTTTATTCATGAAATACAGGTCTGCTGAAAAGACGGGCACCTGACAATTTGGGATTAAAATAAAAAGATACTATATTGCATGAGGCAACTTGGATTCGTAGACTGAAATGAATGCAAATTTCTCATTAAAATGAATTAATTCATATATAATAATGATGATACCATTAAATAACCAGGGAACAGTTTATTCCCAAATGAAAATATATCTCCTCTACTACTGGGATCTAACTAGGCCAAGAAGGGGAACTTTCCAGATTGCAAACAATAAGACATATGCAGCTGGTGATGAGCAAAATAAGATTGCTTATAGTTTGAAGAAAGGAATAAAGTATAAAATTGTGTTTTATATTAAACATAAATTAACAGCTACATGAGAAATTGAAACCATGATACCATTAGGCCATTGCCATCAAAATGAGAGGCAGAGAATTATTTTGAAAGGCTGAGTGTTTAACTTGAGGATTTTCTTTCTCTGATTAAAAACACTACATTCCTGTCATCTCTTGTTACAAGGCGTTTAGAAACTAGAAGTTTGACGTGGCTGTATAACTTGGGTAAGTGTGTTTTAGAGGTCCTATGTCCCTTGAGCTTTCTCCCATGGTTTATTTTGTTGTCACTAAAAACCCATAATGTAATTATAGCCTTGTTGTTAGCACTTCTTTGGCCTCAACCCTTGTTATTAATCACGCTCTCTGCAGAAGTCTGTAGACTGAAAATATTCTATTATCATAAGTAAAAATAAGAACAAAAGACTGGCTTGGCTCACTTCCCAAACCAATGTTCCTGTGAACCACGATGGGAAGAGAAAGAAACATGGTAGAGAGAGTTCTATTGAGACGCAGCGTGTGCCCTAAAATACTGTTTCCATCCTGAAATGGCAGTCATCTTGCTTGGTTCTTTTCAAATTCCTTTCAAGAAAGACTCAGGCCTTTATGAGATCCCAAATAAAGTTGAAAGGAAGGAAGAAGTAAGAGGGGAAGCGGGCAGGCATGGGAATTAGACCAGGAAAAGCCCCCAATGGTGAAAAGTGATCTGAAAGAGAGAGACAAGGGACAGAGGATTTCTATCCTTCCCCAAGTGGGGAGAATGTCTTTCAATGACTCCCCAAAAGCAAGATGGAATCCTCAATTTCTGGGACACAAACTAGACTTTTACTTTTTGAATTTGGCTTTTTTTTTTTTTTTTCATTTGCCAACAAAATTCAACATGTGATATAAGAACATGGGAGACGGAATTGCTGTCTTAAGATCAGTGTTTTTCAAAATTTTTTTTTTTTTAGAGACAAGGTCTTGCTCTGACATCCAGCTATGGTGCGGTGGAGCAACCATAGCTCATTGCAGCCTTGACCTCCTGGTTCAAGCGATCCTCCTGCCTCATCCTCCCAAGTACATGGGACTACAGGTACATGTCACCATGCTCAGCTATTTTTCATTTTTTTTTTTTTTTTTTTTTTAGAGATGAAGTCTTGCTATGTTGCCCAGACTGGCCTTGAACTTCTGGCTTCAAGCTCTCCTCTGGTCTTGGCCAAGATCAGTATTTGATAACTGAAATTGATCACGATTACAGGAAAGGGGGATTTAACTAAAACAAAATAAGACTCCAAGTCTCATAATTATTTTTTCTTACTTAAAAATGAAAAATTTGAGATTTTTTTTAAAGGAGGGCACAAAGTTCATTCTGCAAACTTATTTTTCTTCCAATGTGGAGACAGACTTTTTTTTTTTTTAAATATCCTACACCTAACGTGGTCCTTCCTAGAGGCAGGCCATAAATCATGCTGCTATGGAAAGCCACCATTTAACAGTACTGCAGAAATATGGCCTGTCAAAGGAAGCCTCATTTCTGTCATGAAAAATGGAAAGTGACTCTGTTGAGCTCAACTTTTAAGTGGTGTCTAAGCTATCGAAATATTTGGGATTGTTTTAAACCACTTGTGGGATTCGCAGTTAACCATGGCAATAACCCAGAGAACAGCACATTTCCATTAATGCTGCTAGTACAAAAATGCTTTTAGAGTGTCATGTTCTGGGGGAGATGGGCCAACCCACTTTCAAAGTGACCCAAAGCATTGCTGTTTTCTCTGGAAAGAGTCTAACGGGCTTTTTCTTGCAAACTAATTCAAGTTTTTGTAGCATGTTTGCATAACAGCCAATGCTAAAAAAACTGGATGTGTTTTCTGTCCTAGTGCCCTCATGGCTCTTGGTGGAAAAGGGAGTGTTTGGGAGTGTTTTTCATTTGGAAGGTGAAGTTATTCTCCTTGAGTTCCTGACTGACAATGATGGGAGCGCTATTAACAGGTTGTTAGCAAGGCATCCTTGCGTCAAAATTTCAGATCAAGTTAAATACCATACAGACAATTTTTACATAATTAAAAAGGGCATGTTCTGGAAACCTTCCCTGAACCCTACTGATGTCATTCCTCCAAGAATGTGCTGTGCTCTCTTTCAGCTCTGAGGCTTTCAACATCCTCATCCCTCCACATGGAATGTCCTTCCCACCCGCCCATTGCCTAGCCAACTCTGGAAGGACTGAAGGATCATAAGAGAAAGAAAAGATTTGGGGTGATACAGAAGGTAAGGTCTTAGATACTAATAGAGAAGCTTATTTGGGGCACAATGTTGGTGAGCAGCTTATTTGATATACAAATGACAACAATTTCAATGTAGACAATCATAGTTAAGGAAACATTTTTAGGAGAAAGTACATATATCTGTAATAAACTAAAGGGAATCTTAAGTATTCAGAAAGTTATTTTCATAATTTAGAAAAATATGTTTCCATTTGTAAACATTAAACCCTCTGCCATAGTTGAACAGAAAGCAAGATTAGTATAAGTGGTTACACACACAAACTTGGGATTCTTCCCATGAAGAGAGTCACCTTTAATTTTGCAAAACTGATGTGAACCTGATATAGCTCACTGACTTTTTCATCTGTTTTACTCTATTGAAAAGGTCTTCTCTAGTGGCTCAGCTATAAGTTACTGGGAGAAGTCAGCTAAATCCATTCCTTGTGTCCATTAGACAAAAGTGTGTTGAGCATTAAAGCATTAATTTGTTTTTGAAACTTTAAAAAATGAAGTCAATTTTTATTTTAATTATGGACCAGAAGCTCTAAATATTTCACCTCTAACATTTGATTCTTGAGGTTGCCAGCACTCTGTTTCCTTGCGTCCCAGCTGAAGGGTCTATGGTTAAAATGTTGAGTTTTCCAAAAGGTGTAACCAACTATGGCTTGTTGCCATTCTCTATTACTGATGTTAATACCATGTTAGGAAGGGGCATGGTCATACTCAGACTATGGCAATATTGTATCTGCTTGCAAAGATGAGACTCAAAGAAACAATTTTCACGTTAATGAATTAAAACACTTAGGTATTAGATTCTTCTTTTTTGTAAGCCCCTGTTGCTGCCTTTTGTAACACAAAAGGTTGTCCTCCATTTATTTCCAAAATCAGCTTATTTGGAGACCTGGAGGGAAATAATTTTTCTGAATATGCCCAGGGTGATGGACACTGAAAGTTCTTCTGATAAGTCATGCCACTGAATGAAAATGAATCACTAACATGCATATGAAAGAAAAATTCACTGCCAGAGAGAAACCTCACGTAAGCACATCATAGGGTTGACTTAGAGAACTATTCTCACTGCAGTGTTAAGATGCTGCAAAACAAAAACAAAACAACAACAACAACAAAAATCTTTCCTGTGTTCCTCCGGACTACCTTTCTTTTGGCTTAAGTAGAAACCTTGGATCCAAGGGCTTCTGATCTGCCACCATGCTTTGATTGGCCAGGAAGGACTCCCACTAGATCCAAAATGCTTCCTGAGAATTACAGGACAGTGCTTGAAGAATAGAGGTCTGCTGAACAGAAATTATCTTCTTCAGACAAAATGCAGAAAGAAGCGAAGGCACTTTGTTAAGTGCCCATCAAACAGCTTGGGTCCAACCTTCTGAATGAGTTTCTTCTCCTGAGAAGTGCAAATTTAATATCTCTCTAGCAGGAAGCTGAGAAAGCTTATTTGCACCACTCTGAGCAGGAAGGAGTTAAGGCTATTTTCTAAAAGGCTGACATCTGTGTATCACATTTATAGATGGATACAGATGTGAGGGTATTGTCTAGATGCTTTTATTGAAAAGTTTTGATGGGATTTTCCATTATAACAACATTTTCCATAAAGAGCAATAATAAATTTCAGGGTAGGATTTCTCAACGTCAGCACTACTGACATAATGGGTAAGATAATTCATCATAGTAGGGGACTGTGCTGTGCATTGCAGGATGCTTGGTGGCACATCTGAGCCAGTAGCACCCCGAGCCAAGACAACAAAAAATATCTCCAGGCATTGATAAGTGACCCCTGCGGGAAAACACTACTTTAGATATTCAAAGTCTTCTGGACAAATACATAAGAATATTACTGGACCTGGTTGGCAATATGCTTTAAATAAGGTACTGTGTGATAATTCTATTCCCATGAGGCACTTGGAAGCACATTTCTGTTTTCTAACCTGTGCTGTCTCTAGGATGATGAAGACATTTTACAGCTGGACTAGTACCAGAAGCTAGGACCTCAACACAGAAGCAACATATGTGATTTAAAACCAGGTCAACTGGCCAGGTGCCGTGGCTCATGCCTATAATCCCAGCACTCTGGGAGGCCAAGGTGGGTGGATTACCTGAGGTCAGAAGTTCAAGACCAGCCTGGCCAACATGGTAAAACCCTGTCTCTACTAAAAATACAAAAATTAGCTGGGCGTAGTGGTACGCACCTGTAGTCCCAGCACTTTGAGAGGCTGAGGCAGGTGGATCACCTGAGGTCAGGAGTTTGAGACCAGCCTGGCCAACACAGTGAAACCCCCTCTCTATTAACAATGTAAAAAATTAGCCAAGCATGGTGGCACATGCTTGTAGTCCCAGCTACTCCAGAGGCTAAGGCAGGAGAATCGCTTGACCCTGGGAGGTAGAGGTGGAGGTTGCAGTGAGCCGAGATTGCACTACTGCACTCCAGCCTGGGCAAATGAGCAAGACTCTGTCTCAAAAAACAAAACAAAACAAAACAATGAGGTCAACAAGCACCTCCAAGGTTCATGAAAGGAATCAGAAACAGAGTGGAACCTTCAGTATTGAGAGTTGGTTCTATTGATGACAGAAACCCACACACAAAATACTTGGGTGTTCTAAGAGGGACGCTGTTTACCTTCTTCATTGAGCACATATAAGAAACACAGATTGACCTCCATCAGCCTCAGACTAGAGCAGCTAGAAGGTAGAAGCCGTAAGATTTCCCTTTATGAATCTTCCTCTTTGCCTCTGAACTTTTTCCTTACCTTGCTTTTCCCCCACTGGGTAGAAAGCCATTCCAAGATATTACAAAAGTGAAGAGCAGTGATGGTTTTAACATTATGGGTCATGAGAGACAAATTTAATAAAGGAGATTGACTGAACATTCTGTTCTAGCTACTCGAGGAAGTATTAAGCTTTATTCCAAAGGTAAGAACTACAGCCAATGAGGAGGTGAAATAGAGAATGGGATTTTTGGCTTTATACAGGAAAAACTTTCTGTAAGACACTGCTGCCATGTTTTCCATCACTAGAGTGGAAAAAAAGAATAGTTTGACTGGAGTAGGAGATCTTACAATTCCCCTATTAGCCTCAGACTCAAGGTGAGTGGCTCAAGCCTGTAATCCCAGCACTTTGGGAGGTCGACACAGGAGGATTTCTTGAGCTCAAGAATTCAAGACCAGCTTTGGCAACATGGTGAAACCCCATCTCTATCAAAAATACAAAAACTTAACTGGGCGTGGTGGCGCATGCTTGTGGTCCCAACTACTCAGGAGGCTGGGGTGGGAGGATCGCTTGAGCTTGGGAGTAGCAGGGTGCAATGAGCTGAGATGGTGCCACTGCACTCCAGCCTGGGTGACAGAGTGAAACCCCCATCTCAAAAAAAAAAAAAAAAAAAAAAAAAAGAAGAAGAATATGGATTCAACCAGTGCAGGTCTAGAATCTCCACTCGTAGCCATAGCACCCGCTAGTCTCAAAGCGTGATCCAGAGACTCTCTGGGACCCTTTCAGGAGGTCTGTGAGGCCAATGTTATCTTTACAACAGGAAGGCACTCTTTGTCTTTCTCACTATCACTCTTTTAGGAGTGTACAGTGAACATTCCTAGTGGCCACAGGGTGAATGATGACATCATCGATGTATTAGCCAATGGAATGTGAGCTTGGAGTACTTTGGTGTCTTAAAAAATTTCATTTTTTATTACTAATATAACAAGCATCTCTTGACACAACCCACATAACCAAAAGATCATTGGGGTCCTCAATCATAGAAGAAATGAAAAGGGGTTTTGAGACCTCAAAGTTTGAGAATAGCTGAACTGTCAAAGCTGCATTTCTCATTGGTGTGTATCTGTGTGTGGTAAGGAAGAGTGTATATCTAAAGCAGAGTTGAAACCAGTAAGGAAACAAGGTCGAATACAGTAGGAGGGGGAGGAAATCTATCTCTGGACTTGCTTTGGCAGTGCAGTTGTTTTTGTCTTTCCTTTCGCCTTTCCTCTTCCTTCTCATTGCAGCTGAATTTAAACAAGATTTGCAGCCGCCTGCGTGACATTAGCCTGGTCTGTCACCAAACTAATGAAAACAATTAATCAGTGTGCTTCACTTAAAACTCTTCAGATTGGTAATAACACTTAGGAAGAAACCACTGGCAATGTCATATGAAGTCGTATTTAAATTTAAGAGAAAGACATTTCATTTAGAACTTCTCAGTGAAGACGTGCTGGGAAATGGGGCGTTAGCTGGGGAACTGGCTGCATTTCTCACTGTTACAGCAAAGGGCTGCCGAGTGTGGAGAAAGGAAAAGGTGTGGGATCCCAATGTCAGAGGTCAAAGAGGTTGTGGCCCAGCTGCACAATGGCAAGCAATGGAGGGGTGAACAGACGAGAACAATAGCATGAGCACAATGCTGAAAGACCAAGGCTGAATTAAACACTACCCATCCACCTTCCTGGTCACTAAAAACCTTCAGTGCCTCTGAGTTTATTTCCCTCTGGATAAAGAGATTGGCAGAGGGGTTTTTACATTGGCAAACCCACCAGTAAAGCCCCAGACTGGACAGAGATAACAAGTCCAGCTGGAGGCAGTGTGACACTCCAAATAGAGGGCCTCAGCAGCGGCCTCAGGGCAGTTTTCCTCTGACCTTCTCCTGCCCTCCTGGCTCTCAGTCCCACGCTACCCCAAGGTGCCAGAGAAACTAGAATCCCTCTTCCCCATAAGAACCAAAACCCCGATCCCCAAAACCATCATCAAAACTAAAAGTATGACTCCAACTTTCCCCCTGCCTTTCTGTGGAAAAACTGCCCATAAATAAATCCTCTGACCTACCTTGTGTGACTGTAGGTCATAAGACCCCTGCTCCGGAGAGGGCCCTGTCCCATGCCCAGAAGGAAGGAACACTGCTCAGAGAGGCCAAGACGCATCTAGATAGACAGGCCTGGCTGGGTTTCCCCACTCAGTCCGTTAGCATGAGGTCAGACTTCTCCCTCCAATTCTACTTCTACACACTGCCCGTACTTTGTTGAACCACAGCATAAAAGTGAACAATTTCCCCTGTATCTTTGGGTCTTCCTTTGGAAGCCTCCTGTGTACACGTTAAGTAAATTTATGTTCCTTTTATCCTACTAATTGACCTGCCTCAAACCCGTGATTTTCAGGAAAACTCCAGGGGGCCAAAGGCCTTGGTCCCCACACCATTATGCAGGCAAACCGGAGCATATTGGGCTGTGAAATCAGAGCTCGACAATACCAACCACCCTGGCATCAGAGTACCTGTCCTCAGGCAAGGGTGCTCCAGCCAGCTTGGCTACTGTAGGAAATATGTCCATGTTGCTAGTGGGCTCATCAATCTTCTGGCCAGCCTGTATCACCCTGGGCCAACGAAGGATGCCTGGAACCCGGATACCTCCTTCCCAGTTGTTTGCTTTTCCTCCTAAAAGATCAAAAAAGAGGTAAGAGGCAACAGGGAGATTTCAACGCTTTCAATGCTCACTTCAATGGACTCTTTTGTGCTCAGTGTAGAATAACCAACTGCTCTAATTACATAGATTCCATCCATGAGTATTCCATGAGCAATATAGTATATGTTGTATTGAAAAAAGGAATATATATGACACAGTCACCACCATGCGTGACATGGTCAGCACTGTATGGCATCTTGAACAAAAACTTTGTAATCAGAGGGACTCAACGCAACAAAGATTTGAGTCACCAAAGATTCAAATCAATGACTCTGGAGTCAGGGAATTCAAGTTCCATTTCTACTTGACACCAGCTGTGGTAGGCAAAATAATGGTGCCCCCAAGTGTCCGCATCAAAATTCCTGGAGCCTGGAGCCTGGGGAAATGGGTATTTTGCCTTATATGGCAAAAGGGACTCTAAACATGTGACTAAGGATTTTGAGATGAGGAGATTACCCTGCATCGTCTGAGTGGATCCAATGTAATCATAGGGTTGTAAACAAAAAATAAAATCCTAAGCACCTCGACTAACAGAATGGACCCCTCCTCTCAGCAAAGGGCATTCCAAAGGTTTAACCTGAAACACTAGTTCAGGCCATGATGGAAAGAGGGGATTGAACGTGCCTCATTTTGCCCTCCTTCCTTTGGAATTCAGGTACAACTGACCAGCATTAACATTAAAACAGAGACCTTAAGACGGACAAAACAGACTCTTGTAGCAATAAGATACCAACACCACAGACAGCAGGCCCTGAGAGAAACTGAAGTAGTTTACCCCAAAATATATTTCTTTGACATTTCAAAATAACCCCACACAGCTGTCTCTTGTGAGGAAAACCTACAAGACAATCCCCTTCTCTTTCGGGGTCTTTTCCCTGATCTGGGAGAGAACTGAACTGACCAAGAGTCTGGTATCTTTTAAAGTCTGATAAGAAACATGTACAATGTATTCTCTCTAAAGCCTGCTCCCTGGAGGCTTCATCTGCATCATAAGAACCTTGGCCTCCACAACCCCCTTATTTTAACCCAGACACTCCCTTCTATCGACTGCAGGTCTTTAAATCAACTCTTTCAACCAACTGCCAATCAGAAATTCTTTGAGTCCACCTATGACCTGAAGCCTCCTCACCCCCCACCCCCCGACTCTGACTCCAGACTGAACAATGTACATCTTACATGTATTGACTGATGCCTTATGTCTCCCTAAAATGTATAAATCAAGCTGTAGCCAGAATAGCTTGGGTACATGTTCGCAGGATCTCCCGGGCCTGTGTCTACTTGGCTCAGAATAAATCTCTTCAAACGTTTCAGAGTCTGACTCTTTTTGTAGACAGGGTCCTTTCAAGGGAAAGAGGGAGTCAGAGAAGTGGAGGGGTATAATCACAGAGAGAGGCTGGTAGATGCTACGCTGTTGACTTTGAAGGCAGAGAAGGGTACCCCAAGCCCAGGAATGCAGGCAGGCGCTAGAAGTTGGATAAGGCAAGGAATAAGATTCTCCCCTAGAGCCTTCAGCAAGAAACAGCCCTGCCAACACCCTGAGGACCCATTTAATTCATGGTTATTCCCAAAGGAAAATAAATCATTCTACCAAAAAGATACCTGTACCTATATGTTCATTGCTGCACTATTCACAATAGCAGACGTGGAATTAATCCAGGTGCCCATCAACAGGGATTGGATAAAGAAAATGTGGCACATATACATCATGGAATACTACACAGCCATAAAAAAGAACATGGTATAGCTAGAGGCCATCATCCTAAGTGAATTAATGCAGGAACAGAAAATCAAACACTGCATGTTCTTCCTTATAAGTGGGAGTTAAACATTCAGTACTCATAAACATAAAGATGGCAACAATAGACACTGGGATCTACTGGCAGGAGAGCGGGAGGAGGCCAAGGAGTGCAAAACTATCAGGTACTATGTTCACTACTTGGATGACAGGATCATTAGAACCCCAAACCTCAGCATAATGCCATATACCCATGTAACACACCTGCACACGTACCCGCTGAATCTAAAATTAAAAAAAAAATCATGTTGTTTTGAACCACTAAATTTGTGGTAAATGATTACAGCAGACATAGGAAACAGATACACCAGCCCTTTGCATTTGAGAAAACAGCTTCAGCTATCTGGGTCTCACATTCCCACAACGTTTCCATGCGAGTATTATATGGAATGATTATCCCAACTGCCAAGCTCAGTGCCTGCAAGAGAGGAAGCGCACAAAAAATGGCTATTGTCATCATTATTATTTTATTACCAGGATGGCTCTTACCAGGAGAGTTGAGGAAACAGGCTTTGTGCCTATGAGGCAATTAGAATATAATTAAATACAGCATTGAAAGGGTACTGGCAGAGGCAGAAAGACTGAGTTCAGAGTGGATCAGAATGTCAGCAGATAATCTCAGAAGATGGTCATTGAAGGAACCAAAACATTTCACTCTAAAATACTCTTCTTTAACATATTTTGAGGTGGATGTTCAGAGGGTCTGCAAACAGAAGCAGCCCTGCAAAACTGTCTTTTGTGGGGGAGATTTGAATCTGTAGAGAAAATCTGGTTGGGCGTGGTGGCTCACACCTGTAATCCCAGCACTTTAGGAGGCTGAGAGGGGTGGATCACCTGAGGTCAGGAGTTCAAGACCAGCCTGGCCAACATGGTAAAAGCATGTCTCTACTAAAAATACAAAAGTTAGCCAGGCGTGGTGGCAGGCACCTGTAATCCCAGCTACTTAGGAGGATGAGGCATGAGAATTGCTTGAACCCGGGAGGTGGAGGTTGCAGTGAGCCAAGATCTTGCCATTGCACTCCAGCCTGGATGACAGAGTGAGAATCTGTCTCAGAAAAAAAAAAAAAAGAAGAGAGAGAGAAAATCTGCATTGAGGCAGCCAGGCTTTCTCTGAAGGCCTCCCTTGTCTGATCTAGGAAAGATGAACTGAGAGACTCACACCGTTAAAGTTCTGCAAGAAACATTCACCATCTCTTCTCTCTGGGGACTGCTACACAGGAGGTTTCATCTGCATAACAAGACCACCTCTGCTAGCCAGGCGTCCTCTTCTCCCCTCTCTTAACCTGTGTGGCCACGAGGCAAGGCCCCATTCTTTCTGTAACCTCAAGACGGTATAAAAGCATCAACCCTCTAGCCATTTCTTTGAGATCTATTTTGTAAGGCTCCATGCGTGTTAATAAATTTGTGTGCCTTTTCTCAGTTGCCTTTGTCAGCAGATTTTTAGCAAATCTTCAGAGGGCAAAGGGACAGTTTTCCTGTGGCCCCTATATGACCAACACCTCCCGTTGAGGGATGGAGACCAAGCGCTCCAGTATAGGGCTTAGACAGGACAGGCCTGAAGTCACTCCAGCTGGGCATGTGACCCATGGCTGGGGGAATAAACACTGCTTCCTCACCCTTTATGACAAAGACAGCACAGAGCTAAGTGGTACTGAAGTAGCCATCAGGAAGTTAGACTGGGGACAAAGGGAGTGGAGTTGAAGTTCAGTTACTCAAAAAAGAGGCTGTTTTAAACAATTGGTGTGAAGCATTAAATAGACAGTTAAGTGAGAATGAAGCCAATGAAAAAATGCTCATTCCTCTCAGGAATATCATGTGTGAGTCACACTGGAAATAAACGCCACTTAGGAAGCAAATTACTAGAGACAGAGGTTTCAGGGGTCCTGAAGCAAATCTCCATTGTTAAAAGCTCATCTCTCTGTCTTTTTTTTTTTTTTTAACCTTTACAGGAATGCCTCCTTTTATTGCATTCTGCGCTATCTGCACTAGTGTGTTTTGTGTGTTTTTCAGATGTCACATTATTTATCTATGTATTTGTTTATGTACTTATCTATTTTAGGTTCAGGGGTACATATGCAGGTTTGTCATATAGGTAATCTGCATGTCTTGGGAGTTTGGTGTGCAGATTATTTCATTACCCAGGTAACCAGCATAGTACCTGATATGTAGTTTTTCAGTCCTCTCCCTCCTCCCACCCTCCACTCTCAAGTAGGCCCCAGTGTCTGTTGTTCCCTTCTGTGTGTCCATGTGTACTCAATGTTTAGCTCCCACTTGTAAGTGAGAACATGCAGAATTTGGTTTTTGGTCCCTGCATTAATTCTTTTAGGATAATGGCCTTCAGCTCCATCTATGTTGCTGCAAAGGACAGGATCTCATTCTTTTTTGTGGCTGCATAGTATTCCATGGTGTGTATGTACCACATTTTCTTTATCCAGTCCACTGTTGATGGGTATTTCAGTTGACTCCATGTCTTTGCTATTGTGAATAGTTAAAAGCTCATTTCTTACAGCTGAAGACTGTAGACTGAATTCCTCTCCTCAGCAGGCTCTGACCTTTGCAGACATTCAGACATTCTACATGCTCAGTCACTTAGGGGAGATTCCTATGGAAGTTCACATCATACTTTGTAGTTTCTGTGATGGCCTCCTAAGAAAGTTAAAACTCTTCCCCTTATTTTATCTTTTCAACATCACTTGAAGGTAATTCTCTGACAGATACTGTGATTCCTGCTTCACAGAGATCATAGCCAACAAATGGGAAGTTTAACTACTTTGCCGTAGTTCATTCAAGCAGTTGAAAGCAGAGCTTTGGGAGGAATCTCAACGTGTGAATTACAGTCTAGTTTTCCTTTTGTTCCATCAAACTCATAAAATTTTCACCTGCTTATCCTGCTACTTGATCAAACTCACACCATCTTCACTTTAAATTTAACAACAACAAAATAAGTGATTGTTATAGAACAAAAAAGGGCTGGTTTCATGAATGGTTTAGATATACAAATATTGCCCCCTTGTTTTAAATAAAACAGCATAAATAAATGGGAACAAAAACCAAACTATTAAAATCAGGAAAAAGCACCCTCTCAAAGTTAATCTTCTAGATGCAACGTGGCATTGTGTATTGGATTCCGAAACAGAGAAAGGGCATTAATGGGAAAGCTGGTAACATGGGAAGGTT